AGTAGCAAAACTCGAGAGCACGTAGATGTGAATTTGAGAACTTGTAAAATAAATATTCATACGTGTACGCGAACATTTACACTCACAGCTCCGATGTGAAAACCTGTAAAATAAAAATCTGAACTTGAACGCTGAGATTTGCACTCGCAGACAATAGTCACAAATGTGTAAAATGCCATTCACAAAGATAAAACGACAGACACAAACTTGTAATACAAATTTGCACTTCTTCTAACATTCAAATTTGCAGTACAACCTCAAATTGGCACTTGCAACTGCTCAAATCTGTCACTGCAAGTTCAAATTTCGCGCCTTGACTTTTACTACTCTTTTCGCGATATATGAGGTGCAAAACTGATTTGTGCACTTGTAACTCAGTAGTGGCGAGAGAGAAAAGGGGGCGGGAGCGGGGGTGTTGGAAGGAGCCGTTTTATTGGTTGGCGCCTACCCAATGAAATCGGACTTCTATTGTACGCGATGATGTCACGAAACCCGCCTCCTCGTGGATGTTCTGAAACATGACAGCAAAAACTCACCATTTTGTGTCTGTCCCTTTAAATGCAAATGAGCTGCAGCTCCCGACACAGTGGGCGGAGCTTCAAGAGTGTGTGTGTTAGCAGCTCCGATTACCTCACGCAGACACACGCTAAAATGTCAGAAACTGTTCAGCCTTTTATGTTTAAACCGGAGTCAGAGAAAGTTGGAGAGACTAAGAAGAAGTGACAACATGTAGAATGCAACAGGACGACTCTGAATGGTTAGTTGATGAATTTATGTTGCTGATGTGGAGTTAACTATCTTCAATTAGCATATTCTGTCAGGATAATCTATAAATCACTTGTATAGGAACTGTTGTGAGATGCACACAGAGTGAGTACAACAGCTCTTCCTCTTCTCAACATGGACTGTGTTCCCGGGGGAGGGGTTTATGTAAATTTTAGGGTTAGTGATGTCACTAACCCGGGAGGAAGCTCGTGTAGTTCCTACCAGCCGTTTGTAGTAGTCCTTAAAAAACGATTTCTTTAAAAGCAAATCTCTCCCTGTGCTTTGAACTTTGAGCGTCATAACTTTGCAGATGTTGTTTATGCTCAAACAGCAACATTACACACTCACTAAAGTTAGAAAAGTGAAATCATAATCAACCACCCCTTTAAATGTTTATATTTATTAGAATTCAAATGGTGCAGTCCTAGAATACTGTGATACTTAGCTTGAGTGTGTTTGTAAGTGAAGTGTGTGTGTGTGTGTGTTCACCTGCGGCAGGTGCAGGAGTGACAGACTTCTGGACTCCGTCAGCAACAGGTAACTCATATTCACTCACGTATGTTAAACTCTGCGTAAAGTGAGAACTCTGTGAGACGTGCTTTCACATATTTCAACAATTATAAAAGCATTTAAATGACAGCTATACAGTCATTTATCCTAACAGAGTTATTATATTTAGCAGAGGAGGTTTTTATTGTTTAATTTGCAATAATAACCAGCTTACTGTAGATGATCAGATTTATCACATGCCTACTTATCAAATATGCACATAAATGTTTCTTAAAATATTAGATTTGTGAAAACACAGATCCACATAAAACATTTAGAAATTGTCTTGCGTTCGAAGTTTAGAGCACATTTTCTTGTCTTAACAAGATCAAATATTATGCACATAATTTTTTCAAAGATCAAAGCATTTTTTAAATCGAAATATATATTATGCTTAAAGCAAGCAAAACGATGTTTGACACTAAGGTGAGAAAAATAGTAGGTAACACTTTACTTGAAGGGGTGTGCATAAGACTGACATGACACCTTCATAATCATGACATGACACATTTTATGCTTTATGCATGTTTATGACAACTGTCATTAAGTGTCATTCGCTCAATTATGACATTTTTAATGCAAATATGACATTGTTTAAGATGTCTTGGTAATGACAACTTGACATAAACCAATACATCATAACCTGTCAGTGTCTTTGTCATGACAACTTGACATTACTAAGACAACACAACCTGTCATAAATATGTCATAAACATGACATAGCAGATTAATTATCAAACTTAAGAAAGCACTTAGCTTTATGGGTTAACATTACATTAAACTGTCAGGCGGCTGGTGTTGACATTGGCCGTCATGAGGCATTATAACTGTGTCATGAATATTGTTCTTGACCTCAACTACAGTGGTACACATTGAATTTGTCATTAACATGTTATAATGGCCTTATGACAGCCAATGTCAAAACCAACCTCATGACAGTTTAATGTAATGTTAACCCATAAAGCTAAGTGCTTTCTTAAGTTTGATAATTAATCTGCTATGTCATGTTTATGACATATTTATGACAGGTTGTGTTGTCTTAGTAATGTCAAGTTGTCATGACAAAGACACTGACAGGTTATGATGTATTGGTTTATGTCAAGTTGTCATTACCAAGACATCTCAAACAATGTCATATTTGCATTAAAAATGTCATAATTGAGCGAATGACACTTAATGACAGTTGTCATAAACATGCATAAAGCATAAAATGTGTCATGTCATGATTATGAAGGTGTCATGTCAGTCTTATGCACACCCCTTCAAGTAAAGTGTTACCAAATAATCTTGTTTTTCAAGATTTTTGTACTCGTGGCAAACAGCATTTTCTTGCTTTAAGCAAAAACATCAACAAATGTTGTTCGACTTCTCTGAAAGCAAGACATAAAATCTTGTATCCTTTTGCTTCTCAAGTACATATAAATATATATTGTTTTAATGATGCTTCCATTGTTGTATTGGAAAACGACAAAAACCAAAGTGAATTCAAATGATAATTTCCCTTGTGTTTTTATTCAGGAGAACCTCCATGTTTGCAGGAGAAACCACATGCACTTAATAGTGCACTACTGTCTTTCAAGGGCCCTTGAACATTGATGGTAGCTGTTATTATCTGTTCATTTAACTCTACCTCTGTCTTCGGTGGCTTTGTAGTCTTCACTGGATTGAAAAGTGCATCTGAGAAATCTACAAGTAAACAATAATTGACACACTTATTTGATGTGGCATGTTAATGTACACTGTAAAATATGATTTTTCTCCAGTGGCGTACCAGCGAACGCAGCAGGGATGTAGTCCTTCACCTCGATGTGCACAAACACAGACGGCAGTGTGAGAGGCATGTTGCTCTCACTGCGCAGACAGATGTGCTGGAAACCTGCAACACATCACAGGGTCAATGTTCCTCTCAAAATGAGCCGGGGATAATAATTCTGACAATAAACAACAAACAAATCTGGAGGACAAGAATCACACAAGGATTAAACAATCTACAAATTGACAAAAAAGTGCAATGTCATCCTCATTTTTGAGCATACACTGTGCATATTAAATGATAAACCTCACATTTCAGCCTTTAAACCATTTAAGAAAACGAATGAGTCAATATGATTGATTATAGTTATTTTATCTGCTCAGTTAATAACTAGATACCTTATTTTCCGAATTTGTTGAATTTTTTAGAACGCACATTAGCTTGTTTTGCATCAACCTGTAACAATTTTCAACAGTGCATACAAATTCGCTCTGATTTTCACATGAATAAAGATGTAAATCCACTCTCTGACATCAGAGAATTATGCTTTGATAAATCACAATTATAATATTAATAGTCAAAATTATGAAACATAAAGTCCTATTTATAAGATAAAAAGTCAAAATTATAACTTTAAATCATAACTTTAAATAATTGTGACGTACTGTGTCATTATTTTAAGATTAAAGTCAAAATTATGATATTAAAAAAGTCAAAATTATGACATACTAATTCATAATTATAAGATAAAGGTTGTATTATGACATACTAAATCATAATTCCGACATTAAAGTCAAAATTACGAGATTAGTCAAAATTATAACTTTAAATAATAGTCATAACTTTGAGATAAAAAGTCATAATTATGACATAAAAATCAATTGTGACATACTAAGTACATTTTTAAATTAAAAATACATAATTATGACATAGATAGAACTTTTAAATTATTACATACCAAGTCATAATTATGGGATAAAAGGTCGTAATTATGGCATACTAAATCATAATTCCGAGATAATGTCAAAATTATGACTTTAAATCATAACTATGACATACTAAGTCAATTTTGAGACAAAAAGGCAAAATTATGAAATACTAAGTCATAATCATGAGATTAAAAAGTCAATATTTTGACTCTTTTAAGCCATAAATATTACTTAGTATGTCAGAATTTTGACTTGTTTTCTTTTGTGGCAGAAATGGGTTGTTTCATTCTAGGGCTGTCACTTTACGTTCGAAAATCGATTGCACAATCGATCGGACCAGCCAACACAAGTATCGGCGCTTTCCGGCGCTTGCCGGAAAAGACCGAAGCGCCGGCGCCCTCAGATCACTTGGACGTGGCTGTGGTTACAAGAGGTAAAAACGATATAAATACTGTTTGTTTTCTCACACAAACCGCTCGTTTCGTGTCTTAGGCCATCAATGTGTACTTACATTTACGAGTCATTAAATCATGTGTAATTTGGACTTCTCTGTGCATGCTCTTTGAGGTGGTGACCATAGACCTGCATTATATGACTGACAGACAAGAACGGTTTGACCTAAAAATATCAAAATTGAAACTCCTGCGGAAACAAAGACACCTACATCTTGGATGCCCTTGAGGTAAGCTAAAACATACCAAAAATGAATTCAAAGTGAACTATCCCTTTAAGATAAAATCGGATTTTCTCCAGTCATTGTAAAAAAACAAGCTAACAAAACTTGCAAACTAACGTTAGGGAAGCGGCCAGAGGGCTCGTTCTGCCTCCACCTAAGCTCCGCCCACAGAAAAAACGTCACCATGTTTACCAACTGAAAATTGCTCTATTTCATTCCTAATTACAAGCTTGTTATGTTTGACCAAACCCCCTGAAGATCTCCTGACCTGTCTGAAGAGCGTCCAGAGGGATGATCCGGTGGCCTAAGAACTTCCCGCCCTCCTCCTGAACCACGAGCCGGAGGTAGGCCATCTCCGGCAGCAAGATCTGCTCAACACCACAGAGACCCTCAACCTTATGAAGCCATCATAATATTCATGATCTCATGAGCGGTATATTACAGCGGCTGACCTTCTCGAAGACGAACGGCTCCTCGTTCCACTCCGGGTTGATGGCGTTGGGTGTGGGACTCCATTTGGTGCGAAATTTGCGTTTGGGATCTTTGGGCAAACCGATGAGCTCGACCTCCACTCCGGTTTTCACATTCTTATCCGACAGGAACTGACCGGAGTAAATCTGAACTCACAGTAACGTTTACCATTCAAGAAAGAATAGTTTAATTACATTACATATATATTACAACAGTAACATTTCCTATTATGTTATCATTTCGGTTTTTTTAGTTAGTAATTTTATATTTTTATTTAGTAGTAGTAATAATAATAACAATTATTATTATTATTAATGAACTAAACTAATAAATAGATATATAATCTCAAACATAAAAACAAAAATGTAAATATTAACAATATACAGGTGAAACTTGAAAAATTAGAATATCGTGCAAAAGTTCAGTAATTCAACTTAAAAGGTAAAACTGATATATTATATAGACTCAATGGGTCTCATTCATGAAACATGCGTAAATATACGAGTAAATATGAGAGTGATTTGCGCGTAAAGAGACCTTCCCGAAAACTCATCTCCTGATTCACAAATACTTCGTAAACGTCAGATGTGAGAGTGAAATGTGTGTGTGTGTGTGTGTGTGTGTGTGTTAATGAATTCCAATCAGTCGTAAATGGGATGCGCGTGCACGCTCATTCTCAATTACCATAAATCCCGCCCATTAAATCCGACTGACAACTATATATGGGCATCATATTATGACACCAAACGAAGGATTTCAACATGTCTTCTCAAAAGCGAATGAAAAAGAAAATTTTCTCAGATGCAGAAATCGAAGTTTTATTATCAGAAGTTCATTCAAAACACCACATTTTATTTTCAAGCGTAGGCTACACAGTGGCGTATCAGGTCCCAGGGGCGTAGCAGCCATTATAAAAGTGGGGGGGACAAAAGCTGTATGGTGATGTGACCCAAAGGTCAGTCCTTCCAGAAAAATGCAGAGGTTTTTGTGATTGTTGCGGGCAAAAACCCTTGATTATGCGGCCCGTTTTCTTAAAAAATACGATGGAATATGCGGGATATTTGTGCAATTTTATGCGATGAAATTGCGGGAACTTGCAAAAACTGCGGTTTGATGAAAAAGAGAGAAAAAGTGATTCCCCAACACCCTGTTCTCACTAGGCTCCTAGCTTACTGTAAAGAGTCATTTCTTATTACTTCCTATGATAAGCAAGCGTATACATCATAGAAAGTGCTGGAATATTTAATCTTGTTTTATTTCAGACCTTAATAAACACATGGCTCAAACTTACAAAACATTGAGTCAAACAAGTTCTGTAGCTTTACAAAAGGAATATGCTACAACTTCTGTAAAAATTAATAAATAAAATATATATAAATTTTTTTTTCCCTGTTTTACAGCTTTTCGATGATGTTCACGTCGCGTAATTACGTCAATTCATAACGTTCCCAAGGCAACAGGGGGAAACGGCTGCTCTTGTGTGAAGCAACCGCAACATTTTCCAACTTTCTGCTAAGATATATGTGACTTTTTTGCAACTAAATTCGGGGATTATGAAATCATACAAGCCCCGCATATTTTGCGCGGAAATCGGCAATTTATACGGCAAAAGTGCGGAGTATTTGAAAAAATGCCCCGGCATAAATATGCAGACTTCGGCTGATTATGCATTGAATCATGAGATCGCATAATCCCGTTTTTCTGGAGGGACTGAAAGGTGATGTTCATAATAATAAATTCTAGATGGAATAGCAATTGGCATTTTACAGCACCCTAGTGCCAATTTTGGGAACATGCCGTGATAGCTTACAGCAACCTACTTTTGTGAAATCATACTCGAAATAAAAAAAATATTGCAGGACTTGGGACTTTCAGACCACTGTGGACATCTATACTTTTTTTATGAAATAAAGATATTTTATGATATTTACAATATTTCAGTTAAACTACACTTGAACAATAACTTTTATCTTAACGTTACTTCTTAACAGTTGGACCAAAAAAAAAAGTGTTCAATGAGTATACAGATTACATCTAGCGTACAGTAATTTTATACAACAGACATTTTATAAAAATATATCAATAAAACCTAAATCAATGTATTCGGTATTGGACATCAATTTAACATTGACATTAGATGTTGAATTTACATTGAATTTTGGTCACCCGACGTCGCAACCAAAATTTAACCAAATATCAACGTCTTGACGTTGTGTGCCTGCTGGGAATAATCTGTTATGTCTCATTTAACAGACGCTTTTATCCAAAGCAACAAGTAGGAGAGCATTTAACACACACTCGACACAATCCTGCGCGACGAGGTCCATACGGGTTCTGTTGTCTTACACGTCTTACAGCGTTACAGTAGGTTAAATCATAACAAGGAAACTTAACGTGTGATTCATGTCATCGCGACATACTGTAACACATTATACTTACAGTGTGTGTTTGAAAAAAATTATGTAATCGTCCTCTGCTTTTTTCTGGGGTGCATTAGACGGCCAAACAGCAAAGAGACTAAACGAACACGAAAATTCGCAAGAGCACAAAACATTTGAAGCTCATGGCAGACGAAGTTAGGAAGTTCCCCCCCGGTTGCTACGCCCCTGTCAGGTCCTAAAGAAAGATTACAGATGCAATTACTGGAGTTTCAGCTGTTAATCAAACAGTCCCAGAAGTAAAAAGAAAAACCGTATGTAATTACTATATATAATATTTTTTCAAAATGCTGTGTAAATATGTACCCGATTAAGGTGAATTCAAATGCAGCCTTAGTTATTAATGAGCAAAACGTTCGGATGTTAAACTCACTGTTTACGCGTGGCTGGGAGCAGGTGTAGATTTCTTTCGTACCAACTAACATTTGGAAAATACGAACATTTTAATGAATCCGAAAATTTACGCCAGGACCACTTTACACACGATTCACCCAAAAATTCGTTTTGCTCGTTTTCATGAATGAGACCCATTACATGCAAAGTGAGATATTTCAAGCCTTTATTTGTTATAATTTTGATGATTATGGCTTACAGCTTATGAAAACCTTTCCACAATATTAATTTTGAATTTGGGTTTTCATAAGCTGTAATAATAATGTCTAGTGCGGTGGCTCTGACGTCCATTGCCTTGATTTTTGGAATGACTTATGGCGAGAGGAAAAAATTACGTTTTAATAACATCGGTTAATGGAAACGCCGTCATTTCGCAATAGTTTTTTATCGATATTTAGAAAAAAATCGTAATTTTTTTTGCGCAAATCTGTAATGGAAACGCGCTTAGTTTCATATAAGCACCGATGCATTTCTGAGTTACCTTAATGGTGAGAGTGCTGGCGATGATGGTGTCGATCCTGTCAGTGAAGGGATCGAACTTCTTGTCGTTCCGACGGAGCACGTCGTGTTTGAGCATGTAACCCGTCCTGCCGTTAAACTCGAACAGAGCCATGTTCAGCTGCATGGGGAAATCTACAGCATGATATGATTAAGACTCAAACATTGACATAAAGAGCTGCTCTGGACAGCTTTTAAACGCACAGAAAGCGTGATCTGTGAGGGACTCACCCATAGTCTGGTAGTTGAGCGCCACGAACTGACAGCCGGCGCTCCAGAAGGGCTGAGGACTGTAGTTTGAAGAGTCCACACGGGTTCCTTTAGGGTAAATACGGCTCATCTGCCTCTTATTATATCTACAGTCATCAGTATAGGAAAGCACTGACACCCGTACACGAGAAAACACCTTTACATTTACATTTATGCATTTATCCGAAGCGACTTACATTGCATTTCAAGGTACACATTTTACATTCTTATCAGTTCACCTGTGAGTCATTTGCTGTGTAGGAAACGTTACTTTAAAAAAGTAGTTAGTTTTAGTTACTCACTACTTGTTCCAAAAAGTAACTGAGTTAGTAACTAAATAACTCTATAATAAAAGTAACTCGTTACCAGGGAAAGTAACTATTAGCATTACTGTTAAAAAAAAGTTGCTATATTTCGATCGAATCTCTGTTTAGCTGTTGTGTGTGTGTGTGGGGCGCCTGTGGTGGCATGTGTGTGTAAAAACACTGGCTCTGATTGGCTACCATGAAACATGACTCTGCCTTAGCCAATCACAATCGCGTACCTCGTTATTAACCCACCTCCTCACTTGCTGTGTGTGAGCCAGGGGTGCGTAAAAGTAAATAGTTAGATTACCCCGTTACGGAAAAAAAAAAATAACGTTGTTACCTAATGCCGTTCTTTTAAAAGGCGTTATTCCAAACACTGGTCATTTGAATCTAATTCAGAGGAAATGTAAAGGATACTCCACCCAGTCCACAGCGTTCTTCGCGATCAAACTCTCTCCTTTGGTTTCCACGAAGGACGAGATGACATAACTCCTGTTTTTCTCTGTATTTGGACAGAATCAGATGGTAAAAACACAGATCAAACCGTTTAGAAAGTAGACAGAGACATCATTAGTCAGCATTATGGGACAGAAAACAACAGGGTCGGTCCTGTTACGCAGCATATTTCAAATATTAGATTTACAACACTTTACAATAAGGTCTCATTTGTTAGAGGGATTGTTCACCCTAAAATGAAAATTAGCCCATGATTTACTCACCCTAAGCCATCCTAGTCTAGGTGTGTATGACTTTCTTCTTTCAGCCAAACACAATCAGACTTATATTATAAAATGTCTTTATAATGGGAGTGAATGTTACCTGAGATTTTGACGCCCAAAAAAGTGCATCCGTCCATCATAAAAGTAATTCATACGACTCCAGTGGGTTAATAAAGGCCTTCTGAAGTGAAGCCATGCATTTTTGTTAGAAAAATATATATAAACTAAAATAACTAGCTTCTGACAGACGGATGTACGCATCAAATAACAGTGAGTGATTTAGAGTGACCTCTGACCCGACGCATGGTGTATTGACGGATGCGGAAGCGAATCAAAACACCGGTCACGAAGTCTAAAGTGAAAAGTTTTAAAGAAAAATGTCGGAGGCTTTCGAGATAAGAGAAGAGGAGCTCCAGTTTGAAAAGTAAATAAATAAAAAAATATGGATATTTTTCTTACAAAAACGCATGGCTTTGCTTCAGAAAGCCTTTATCCAATCCAGTCCAACTTTATTTGTTAAGCACTTTTAACCCTCTGGGCTTCTTCGTTTAGGGGTTACACTTAAAACACTTGTTACACAGCCTTAAAATGTAACTTTTTTTTCAATAAATGCAACATTTCACATCAAAATAGAGTGCAGGCTGCAGGCACAAAAAAATTCAAGTGAGAAAACCGCCATCCAGTGGCTTTAAAAATATATAAATGTGTGTAATGTCCTTAACATTAGGCTGTGTAGGCTGCCTATAGCTTCCTATATAAATACATAGAAAGGCTTTTTGATTCCTATTGTTGTTTTAGACATGATTTCTCTATCTTATTTTTATTTATATATATTAGATATTCTAAAAGACTACTTTTTTTATTTTATTTTTAGATAAGTATCTTTATTTAGATATAGGTTTTGCATTATGATTACAATCAAACAATAACATTTGGTTAGAAAGGGAACACAATGCAAACAGTTTCTCTCTCTCTCTGTGAGTGTGTGTGTGTGCATTTGAGCAAGTTTTTTATTTTTATTTATTGATTTTATTTTGCATATTCTAAAAATTTGCTGTTGCAGTCTTGCCAGTTTATCTGTGTGTGTGTGTGTGTGTGTGTGTGTGTGTATTTGTGCGTGTGGGTGTGTGTGTGAGGGGGGTGAGGTGTCTTATTTGCACTCTTGATGTTTTAGAGTGTCACCCCTTCATTGCTGTACACTTTTTTTCTGCACAGTGGCTGATCTGTAGCTTGTACCACCAAAGTTTTCCTATTGTATTTCCCATTCATTTCCTATGGTCGGTCATTTTTGACCGGGAGGAAGCTAAGTGTGACTATTTTTTTTACGACCCTTTAACATATCCGAATCATCTCCTTGATTTTTGTGTGTGTTCACATAGGTAATACAACAAAAGTTACCAAGTTTCATCCCCCTCCGATGAAGCAAAAAAATGAAACATTTCAAAACGTTAACGGTTTCGGTCATTTTTTAAACAACCAAAGTTGACCAAAGTGCTGTAGAGAAAAAGGCGCAAAATTACATATAAAATACAACAATAAAATAAAATGAAATGACAATAAACATACACATAAACATGAGTACAAATAATAGCCACGCAATAAAGGCAATCGAAATAAGTAATAAAAGCAAGTAAATAAAATCGACATCTTTCTTTATTAACCACTGGAGTCGTATGGATTACTTTTATCATGGACGGATGCACGGATCCCCCCCCCCCCCCCCCCCCATTCTCTCCCATTATAAAGCTTGGAAGAGCCAGGATATTTTTTAATATAACTCTTATTGTGTTCGTCTGAAAGAAGAAAGTCATACACACTTAGGATGACTTCAGGGTGAGTAAACCATGGGCTAGTTTTCATTTTTGGGTGAACTATCCCTTTAACATTGGCAACATTGGCTTTATTTATATAGTCCACTGTAGACATTCTTCTAACTACCTTTGCAACTACATGTAAACTAACTCTCATTAGAGTATTAGTAGAGCTTCTGCTTAATATCTGCAAACACTTTATATTGATGCTCCTCAACAAAGATTTTATTGACTGTAAGTGACTTTGCAACTACATGTCAATTTATTCTACTAACCCGAACCGAACAGTTTACTAATACTCTAATGGGAGTTAACTGACATATACAGTAGTTGCTTATAGTTATAGTTATGGCTAAAGTGGACCATTAGCATGTTAACATAGTTATTAGCCTACATGAACTAACAAGGAGCAATATCATTTTGAGGCATTTATTAATTTGGTTAACGTAAGTTAGTAAATGTCTATTTGTTCATTGTTTGTTCATGTTAGTTGCATTAACTAATGTTAACAAATACAACTTTTGATTTTAATACTGTTTTAGTAAATGTTGAAAATTAACATTTAAATGTATTGAAAAAAATTATTAGTTAACTAATGGAGTTAACCAATGTTAACAAATTAAACCTTATTGTAAAGTGTCACAGATAAAATATTATTCATGTATTTTTTAAAAGATCGAAATCAGACGTATATTCATATTGAGTAATATTGCATCAGAGGAGGTTTTAGGTGCATTTATTATATTTATAAATATACACTTATAAAATAAAATCAGGTCTGAACTCACTAATTGCGTTCTCAAAAGAGATGAATTTGTTGGGCTGTACATAGTTGACCAGGGCGGACATCTCCTCGTATGCTGTCACTTCCTGTCCAGCGGTACCCTGAGAGGAAATGGAAAATATCAGATAAAAAATATTAGATTAAACTCTGCAGTCCAGAGAGAGAGAGAGAGAGAGAGAGAGAGAGAGAGAGAGAGAGAGAGAGAGAGAGAGAGAGAGAGAGAGAGAGAGAGAGAGAGAAAGAAAGAGAGAAATGTGTCTTTATGAGTCATTATTCTTCATTTAGCAAACAATTACTTATGAAAAGCAACAGTTTCACTGAAGCATACACTACCATTCAAAAGTCTGGGCTCTTTTTTCATAGAAATTAATAATTTTATTCAGCAGGGATGAATTAAATTGATTAAAAAAAATGACAGTAAAGACATTAATAATGTTACAAAAGATTCTATTTAAATAATTCCTGTTCTTTTGAACTTTTGATTCATCAAAGAATCCTGAAAAATAAATGTTTTCAACATTGATAATAATCAGAAAAGTTTCTTGAGCAGCAAATCATCATATTAGAGTGATTTTCTGAAGGGTCATGTGACACTGAAGACTGGAGTAATGATGCTGAACATTCAGCTTTGATCACAAGAATACATTTTAGTTTAACATATATTCACATTGAAAACAGTGATTTTAAATTATAATAATATTCCACTGGTTTAAATTTATTTTTGATCAAATAAAAAGCAGAAGAGACTTCTTTTAAAAACATTAAATATTCTTACAGACCCTAAACTTTTGAACGCTAGTGTGCTCGATTTGTATTAGGTTTTAAACCGTGCGGCAGAAGTGAGAAGTAAACACTAGATACTTCACCTCATCAGAGTTCTTCATCTTCTCTTCGTCATGTTCATCGTGGTCATCATGTTCTTCATGCTCTATCAGTTACACATAAAACACTGCTGTTATTGTCTGTCCAATCATCTCTACAAACACAGCAAAAAATCATTTAGACACTCATGTCACAGTTAGGGCCCTATTTTAAGGATCTAAGCTCGTGGTCTAAAGCTCACAGCGCAAGTGTGCACTTAGGTCGTGTCCGAATCCACTTTTGCTAGTTTAACGGCGGGAAAAATGGTCGGCGCTCCCGGCGCTGGTCTAAAAGGGTTGTTTCTATTCTCTTAATGAGTCATGGGTGTGTTTTGGGCGTAACGTGAAATAAACCAATCAGAGTCTCATCTCCCATTCCCTTTAAAAGCCAGTTGAGGTTAAACCTGTGTGTGTGTGTGAGGTTAAAGTACAAGCAGATCATCTACGGGACAAGCCGTATTCCACCATATCTTTATGTACACAATAATTATCTTTTACATTGTAATCCTTTTATTTTTAATATTTGGCATGTTTGTGTGCTGCTGCGCGTCCCTGTGTGTGAAATAAGCGAGTGTGTGTAATAAGCAGAGTGTGTGTAATAAGCAGAGTGTATGCGCGTTGTGGACCCGCCTATAGGCGCACATTACTAACGCGCTATTTAAATAACAAAAAAACACTGCACCATTGACTTTAGACCAGGTTTCAGTTGGTCAACGGCTCAGTCTATTTCAGTTCCTCAAAATATCAACGCACCAACAATGCTCCTGAACACACATTCGTTCTCAGACCAGCAGGCCATGGGCGCACAGATGGGCGCATATGTATTTGCTAATTAAACAACGTGGCGCATGACGTGAAAATGAAAACTGCGTCAAGCTGAAACTAGCCAAAACACTTGAGTCGCGCCTGTCGCTGCGTTGCGCCGGCTGTTTGATAGGGCCCTTAAAGTCAGCATGAAATCAAAATTGATCATTTTTGTTATAAAATATTGCAGTGTATACTATAAACGATTTATCGGTGCACATTAGGGATGTAAACAGTCAATCGATTATTGATTAATTGTCGACAGGAATTTACTCGATTAAATTAAATTAATTGTCGGCTAATTGAACATTGCAAACGTGACACGAGATTCTCACGCGAGAGACCCGACACAAACTTGAGGCGGCAAAAAAGAAACCAAACATGAGGTGGTCAAAACGGAGTGGACTACCAGCTATATACAGCGTGCTAACCTCGAAAATCCAGCTGTATTCTAACAATAACTTAGCTCTCCTTATTAGCTAGGCTCCTTGCATGCTGGCTAATAACTTTTCTTAAAGCTGGGTCTCAAACATTAACAGCGCTGTGTTGGACAGATTTGGAAAGGAATACCACCGAGTGGGATTTCTCGAGCTGGAGAGGCGGAGCCTTGTATGAACATTTTTCAATGCTTTGCGTTGTGGGCCCGTCTGACTGAGTAGACCGTGGCGGTAAATTCTCCCGAGCCCCCTTCCATTGGACACGGACCGTCTTTTGAGGGAACCCGTCTGGCCAGGTTTTCTGGGACCCGTGGAGGTCGCAGGAGAGGAGGTGCTAGAGCAGCCCGCTGTCTTCCCGGAGGCCTTGCCCGAGCAGCCCGCTGTCTTCCCAGAGGCCATGCCCGAGCAGCCCGCTGTCTTCCCGGAGGCCGTGCCCGAGCAGCCCGCTGTCTTCCCGGAGGCCTTGCCCGAGCAGCCCGCTGTCTTCCCGGAGGCCTTGCCCGAGCAGCCCGCTGTCTTCCCGGAGGCCTTGCCCGAGCAGCCCGCTGTCTTCCCGGAGGCCTTGCCCGAGCAGCCCATCATCAGTCCTGCCATGGCCAAGAGAGCGGTCTTCCTTTTTTATGTATTGGCGGTTCTGCATGCACGGAGGAAGCACACGCCTGCCGATCCAGAGACTGTTCACGTCACGTCTGCCGATCCAGAGACTGTTCATGTCACGTCTGCCGATCCAGAGACTGTTCATGTCACGTCTGCCGATCCAGAGACTGTTCACGTCACGTCTGCCGATCCAGAGACTGTTCACGTCACGTCTGCCGATCCAGAGACTGTTCATGTCACGTCTGCTTATCCAGAGACTGTTCATGTCACGTCTGCCGATCCAGAGACTGTTCACGTCACGTCTGCCGATCCAGAGACTGTTCACGTCACGTCTGCCGATCCAGAGACTGTTCATGTCACGTCTGCCGATCCAGAGACTGTTCACGTCACGTCTGCCGATCCAGAGACTGTTCATGACACGTCTGCCGATCCAGAGACTGTTCACGACACGTCTGCCGATCCAGAGACTGTTCACGTCCGCCTGCACGACCTGCTCCCCCCTGGCCGCCCGATGGACTGACGTTTCTGCCCTGGCCGTCTGCTCAGCCTGCTTCGCCCTGGCCGTCCGAGGATAAGTCTCCGCCCTGGCCGCCTGATGGGTCGTCTGCTTCGCCCTGGCCGCCCGTTGGGTCGTCTGCTTCGCCTTGGCCACTCCATGGACAGTCTGCTTCACCCTGGCCGCCGGCTAAGCCGTCACCCCCTGTTCCTGTTACCCTTCATGGACCTGGCCCCCCATCATCCCTCCCCCTGGTCCTCCACCGTTCCACCTCCCTCCTGGACTCTTGTTTTGTTTTGTAATTGTATCTTGGAGCGTCTGGTAGCCGCTCCGTAGAGGGGGCGTTATGTCACAGTGTCTGGTTTGTGTTCCCTGGGTAACCACTAGAGGTCCTCTTCCCCCACGGTGTCATTCACCCATAACTACATTTCCCATCATCCTGTTCTGTCACTCATTGAACATTGCACACAGCTGTTTCCCGTCACCTTGTTAGTATCTGTGTGTATACCCTGTCTGTTCAGTCATTGTCATGGAGTCCTTGTGTAATGTCATGTTGCACTTTGATGTTCTGTTCTTGTTTGTTTCTTGTTTTGACCTGTCGTTGTATGGATTTTGACCCTTTGCCTGACTGGATTACGATTACGGATTACCCTATTAAAGACTGCAATTGGATCTACCACTTTGTGTGCTTGTCGTAACAACTTCAACTTAAACAGTCCGCCGTTTCAGGACTGGTTTACAGATGAACTCACCGGTCGCGTGATGAGCGTCGGTGCCTTCTGGGTTGGCCGGAGCAGGTTGGTTTGGATCAGTGGGTTGGTTTGGATCAGCGGGATGGTTTGGATCAGCAGGATGGTTTGGATCAGTGGGTTGGTTGGACTCAGCATCTGCAGCGTCATTAGTTTGTTCTTGAGCAGGCGGTTTCTTTGCTTGATCTGGTTTGCTCGGAGGTGCGCTGCTTTTCTTATTCTTGATCAGTATTTTACCCATCAGCTCAGACGGACTCGGGATCGGCTGACCCGGCTTGAGCTGAAAAACAAAACCGCAGAATATTACATTACATGAGATATAGGGCCCTATTTTAACGATCTGAAACGCAAGTGTCAAAGCGCAAAGCGCAAGTAACTTTGTGGGCGGATCCCGGCGCTGTTGCTATTTTACCGGCGGGATAAATGCCTCTTGCGCCTGGCGCAAATCTAAAAGAGGTTGGTCTGAAGTAGCTTCATTATTCTTAGGTGTGGTTTGGGCGTAACGTGAAATAAACCAATCAGAGCGTCGTCCAACATACCCTTTAAGAGCAGGTGCGCATGTTGCATGGCGGATTGCTATTATAACGGCGGATTTACCAGGCGCGCGCCAGGAGCGGTTCACAGCCGAGGAGACCGACGTTCTTGTCAGGGCAGTGAAAGACAGAGAAGTGACGTTGTATGGGGATGGGAGAAACCCACCCAAATCAGCGTCGGTTAAACAGGAGTGGGAGGAAAAAAAATATAATTTTTTTACATCTTCATGGACACCACAATAAATTCCCTCTTGTGTTAATATTTTTCCTTGTTATAATGTATGATTTGCAAAAATAAAAACTCCTGCATCTGTGTTGTTGAGAGAATCAAAGTGTATGCGCGTTGTGCACCCGCTACATTATGGCCAAGCATGCGCGCTTAAAATAGCATTATGAACAACGCGCAACGCGCCACTGACTTTAGACTAGGTTTTTTCTGGTCAGTGGTGGAATTGTTTTCTGGAACTGCAAAATAGCACTAGGGGATGTTTGCGCCGAAACACGCCTCCTTTTTGCGCCGACCCGCCCAGGGAGCGCAAGTTCATTTCCTAGTTTACCGACGTGCGTCTGTGGAGGGAAAAGCCCGCTTTGCGCGGGTGCAAAATAGGAATGATACATGCGTCAGTGTACAAAGTCATTTGCGCCGAGTGCAAGATAGGGCCCATTTACTACAATTAGCTTGTAATATAGGTTTATTGGTAACATTTTACTGTAACACTTTATTTTATGTGTATTACACGTGACATGTAGTTACTATAGTAATCAAACTGGGCATAATTACATGCAACTAACTCTATAGTAAGTACAAAGTTAATTATTATTATTATTACTCAATTAAATGTATAATTACACTGTTACACTTTACTTACACTTTATTTTAAGGTGTCATTGTTACAGTGTATTTATATATTTAAGTACTGAGTAATATGAAGCAACTACATGTACTTACTATAGGGTTAGGGTTGGTTGAGGGTTAGTTGCATGTAATTATGCATAATTTACTGTTACTACTATGGTAAGTACATGTAACATGTGTAACAAGGACACTGTAAAATAAAGAGTTACCAAATTAAGTGAAACCCACTTTAAAACTTTGCATTTAAAACAATGCAATGCATTTACAACAATATTTATTCATCTTTGTTGTTAAAGTTAGTAAATCAAAATTAAAGCTGTTTATTGTTAGTTCACGTCAGCTCAGGTCCATTAAATATTAACAGATATAGAATTATATAGAAGTAAATTAACATTAACTAAAACTAATAAATGCTTTTAGAAGTATTTTTCATTGTTAATTCATGTTAACTAATGTAAATTACTAATGCTAGCAAATAAAATCTAAGTGTAAAGTCTTACTGGTTTATTTTAGGTCATCTAACTGGTCACTGTTTATTTCTATTTTATTTTACTTACTTTAATATATTTTTTATATCAGTTTTAATCAAAGTTTCTTCACTAACCACTAGTCCTGTGGTGTAACAAATGACATTTTTAAATATTTAATTATGTTTTTGCAAATATTCAATGTAGTCTAACGAAATATGCTAGAAACAGAAATGTGTTAAATCATGTTAGCGCAATTAAATTATGCTAGCAACATAACCCATGCAAGCAACATGCTAAATCATTTTAGCAATGTGTTAAATCATGCAAGAGACATGCTAGCAACGTGCTAAATATGTCAGAAGTGTTACTTTGAACCCAACAAAACCATTTCCACATTTGATTTGAACTCACAGGATATTTGTCCAGTAAATCGACGAGCAGAGCGTCTCCAAAGATAGTTCTGCAGTAGTTCGCCATCTTCTCCTGCTGCTTCACTCTGAAACAAACATATGAGCCAGTTTACAGCACATCTTCAAATTCACGGTACGAGATATGAATGAAATATCATGGACGTGTCTTACGAATCAACGTGGTTCTCAAAGGAAAGCACAATAGGATACTTGGATGTTTTGAAGGCACTCTCAGCGATCGCTTCAATCACGTCCTGGCATGAAGAAAAACATAATCGAGAAGTTTCTTTCTTTACCTTTGTGAAAAAGAAGTGTACTTAATCGTATTGAATGTGCACTTGTAGTGCACTTCACATCTTGAAAGTATATTTTTTTATAAAAACTGCACTGTAATATTTTGATGAAATAAAAGTGTAGCCTATAGGATATTTGACGTTCATGACTACACACTTAAGTACATTTTTCTGTTAAAGTACATTTTAATAATCTTTTGTCATGCTTTAAAGTACACTTTTTCTGATGTGTTGACAAACATGGTATAGTACTTGATTGTAATTTACTAGAGCTAATTCGATATTAATTTAATTTACAGTTAATATATTTGAAATGTAGGCCTACTAAATTGCAACTTCATCATTACAAATAAGTAATTAGGCTACTAATGTATGGCAAGCCGTTTTAGCTTAAATTGTACACAGCCTTACTCTTCGTAATTACGTTTTTACTAGTAAGAATTGAATTAGAGAGCTCTACAATTCAATTCTTACTAGTAAAAATACAATTGGAGAGCTTTACAAATTGATTTTTACTAGTCATATGTCTCCATTGACTTCCGTTCATTTTTAATTACAGAGCTCTCTAATTCAATTCTTACTAGTAAAAAAAACAAATTAAAGATATGTATAATTGCAGAGCTCTCTAATTGTAATTGTTACTAGTAAGAATTGAATTGTAGAGCTCTCTAATTCAATTCTTACTAGTAAAAACGTAATTACGACGAGTAAGGCTGGGTACAATTTAAGCTAAAACGGCTTGCCATACTAATGCATTTAAATACAATACATACATTGTAATTTAACTGACATTAAAGTATGATTTAGTTTACCATATTTCAAAGACAATAGAATTAATTATGAAATTACATAAAGATGTAATAAAGTCTAACGTAATAGGACTTAATTAAGCACTCATAAGTTTAAATAACTGCATTTAACATACATTTAAACTATAATACATTTGCATTTAGCTAATTAAAACTAACATGCAGTAAAGTGCCGGAACACATTACATTCAGTTCGCACTTAAGTATATTATTTTACATAATAATTATCTTTTTAAAATGATGCTAAAGTGTACTTCTTTTTCATAAGAGGTTTTGATTCAGTAAGTCGAAGTGATTAATAATCTGGTGTAAAGTTATCGAAAGACCTGCTCCTGATTTTCACACTCATCTCCACTGCATCCCATAATCACAGCGAGCGCTCTGATTGGAGGAACCGACCTTGAACAGGATCTCGGTTGTCATGGTGAAGCCGTGCGTGATGATTGGCTCTTCATCGGGTGGTTTGCCCTTCCAGCAGTCGAGCTCCAGACAGCGGCAGCCGGCGAGGAGACACTGGCGATACATCTCCGGGGACGAGACGCCCGTCAGCTGCCCGGCTGAGGGAACATCCGCATCAGGTTATCTCTTTTTATATCAAAAACTCTAGAAGTGTTTGAACACCCTAAACCTCTGGGGTCTGAGGTGTTTTCCTGGCACTGGAGGTGTGTTTTGATGTGCCCTGAGATTTGTGCTTATTTCTGTTGCTTATAACATTTCACGTCTGATTGCACTGTATTCTATGGAAGCTTGTTTCCGCCACAGAATAATAATAAAAAAAAAGTAAATGCGACTTTTTATCTTACAATTCTGACTTTTTTTTCTTACAATCGCGAGTTTACAGAATTGCATTTCTCAGAATTGCGTGATAAAAAGACACAATTGCGAGTTATAAAGTTAGAATTGCATGATATAAAAGGTGCAATTGCCAGAAAATGTAATTTTTTTCTCAGAATTGCATGTTTATATCTTGCAATTCTGACTTTTTTCCTCGCAATTGCGAGTTTATATCTCATAATTCTGACTTTATATCACACGATTGGGAGATATAAAGTCGGAATTGCATGGTATAAAGTCGCAATTACGTGTTATAAAGTCAGATTTGCGAGATACAGTATAAACTCGCAATTGCGAGAAAAAAGTCAGAATTGCGAGTTTATTTCTCGCAATTGTGAGTTTATAAGACGCAATTCCGATTTTATATCTCGCAATTCTGAGAAATAAATAATAACATCATCAGTTATCGTTTAAATCAATGATCGTTTTTTCTGTGGTGGATGTACAGCATGTAGGCCGATGTAAAAGTTTTTAGTTTTGAATGAGCTGAAAAATGACGTTTATGCGTTATTTAAATAAGGCCGATATGAAACATTATTGTTTAAACATCTACGTTTGAGCAGATATTCACGAACACGGTATTTCACGGTAAACACTGTTACAGTGTAAACGCTCATGTTACTTTTAAATTGTAGCCATACTGTGTTTTATATAAAACATCCTTGTGTCGTACAGCATTCTGATGTATTCCGGCAGTTAGTATTGAAAGGTTGCCGACCTGCCTATATTTCATATATATAAATAGTAATATTATATAAATATATAATATATAAATACTATAAATAGCCTGCGCTGCTTATGGACTCTGACAAAATCTTGGGTTATTTTTTCGGTAACGCTTCCTTTTACAGTCCTGTTACCCATGTACTTACTATGTACTTATTATAGTAATTATAATTACTGGGTAATAACTAGGTACTAACCCTGAACCTACCCCTAAACCTACCCCTAACCCATGTACTTATCTTATATTAGCCAGTAAGTACACTGTAAATACACGTAAGTACTGTACTGTAAAAGGAAGCGTTACTATTTTTTCAACCCAAATCTTGGGTTGAGCCTTTTGAGTCATTTTTTGGGTTGTTTTTTCAGTGTTTGGGTAGTTTTTGTGTTACCCAGCACCTGGGTCAGAAGTAACAACCCAGGGGTTGAGTTATTAACGCGACCTCTTCAGGAGAGAGAGAGAGAGAGCAGTGCAGCGCCGTAAAAAATGTGTTTGTCTTCGGTAAAATGCAGGTATGTGTACATTTTATTTCATCTATAAATTCGTTATTGTGCTGTACATCGTTTAATCTTATGCAAAGCAACATACAGGGGCCTGATGCGAGTCACCCACACGAGTGGCGCGTCGGTCTATTCGTGTGAAGGAAAAACAGGTCATTTGTTTCAAGCTTCCTAAAGACATATCGGTAACACTTTACAATAAGGTTCATTAGTTAACTACATTAGTTAACATTAACTAAGAATACTTCTTCAGCATTTGTTAATCTTTGTTAATGTTAATTTCAACATTTACTAATACTTTATTAAAATCTTGTTAACATTAGTTAATGCACTGTGAACTAACATGAACAAACAATGAACAGCTGGATTTGTTAACAGAAGATTAACAAAAACAGTAACAAATGTATTGCTCATGGTTAGTTCATGTTAGTTAACACATTAACTAATGTTTAATTAATGAACCTTATTGTAAAGTGTTACGGACATATCTCTATTTCTGTGTGGCAAGTAATCACTGAGTATCGGTTCATTTTTGTGACGCGTTTCAGAAAGAAGTTCTCAGAGACTCGGACGGCATAAAGCGCACCCTGTTTGTGTTCTTTATTTTACCGTTTTGTTTTTAATGTGAGTGTACACAAATAACAATAGACCCTTTACAGTTTCGAATGATGTATTACACTCGTTTTCCGAGTGACAGAGTATTTTAAGTTCTTTTCGCTGTTATCAGGAAATAATGCAAGTGTTCTCCTCTACCTCTACCGACCCCAGAGGGTTCGAGTTTCGGGTATAACTGGAAAACGGGTGCGTAAGGAAAGGAGAGCGGCGTTACCTGTGAGATAGGTGTTGTGTTAGCTGTGAGATAGGTGTTGTGTTGTGTTACCTGTGAGATAGGTGTTGTGTTGTGTTACCTGTGAGATAGGTGTTGTGTTACCTGTGAGATAGGTGTTGTGTTGTGTTACCTGTGAGATAGGTGTTGTGTTAGCTGTGAGATAGGTGTTGTGTTGTGTTACCTGTGAGATAGGTGTTGTGTTGTGTTACCTGTGAGATAGGTGTTGTGTTACCTGTGAGATAGGTGTTGTATTGTGTTAGCTGTGAAATAGTTGTTGTGTTGTGTTACCTGTGAGATAGGTGTTGTGTTGTGTTAGCTGTGAGATAGGTGTTGTATTGTGTTAGCTGTGAAATAGTTGTTGTGTTGTGTTACCTGTGAGATAGGTGTTGTGTTGTGTTACCTGTGAGATAGGTGTTGTGTTGTGTTACCTGTGAGATAGGTGTTGTGTTGTGTTACCTGTGAGATAGGTGTTGTGTTGTGTTACCTGTGAGATAGGTGTTGTGTTGTGTTACCTGTGAGATAGGTGTTGTGTTGTGTTACCTGTGAGATAGGTGTTGTGTTGTGTTACCTGTGAGATAGGTGTTGTGTTGTGTTACCTGTGAGATAGGTGTTGTGTTGTGTTACCTGTGAGATAGGTGTTGTGTTGTGTTACCTGTGAGATAGGTGTTGTGTTGTGTTACCTGTGAGATAGGTGTTGTGTTGTGTTACCTGTGAGATAGGTGTTGTGTTACCTGTGAGATAGGTGTTGTATTGTGTTAGCTGTGAAATAGTTGTTGTGTTGTGTTACCTGTGAGATAGGTGTTGTGTTGTGTTAGCTGTGAGATAGGTGTTGTATTGTGTTAGCTGTGAAATAGTTGTTGTGTTGTGTTACCTGTGAGATAGGTGTTGTGTTGTGTTACCTGTGAGATAGGTGTTGTGTTGTGTTACCTGTGAGATAGGTGTTGTGTTGTGTTACCTGTGAGATAGGTGTTGTGTTGTGTTACCTGTGAGATAGGTGTTGTGTTGTGTTACCTGTGAGATAGGTGTTGTGTTGTGTTACCTGTGAGATAGGTGTTGTGTTGTGTTACCTGTGAGATAGGTGTTGTGTTGTGTTACCTGTGAGATAGGTGTTGTGTTGTGTTACCTGTGAGATAGGTGTTGTGTTGTGTTACCTGTGAGATAGGTGTTGTGTTGTGTTACCTGTGAGATAGGTGTTGTGTTGTGTTACCTGTGAGATAGGTGTTGTGTTGTGTTACCTGTGAGATAGGTGTTGTGTTGTGTTACCTGTGAGATAGGTGTTGTGTTGTGTTACCTGTGAGATAGGTGTTGTGTTGTGTTACCTGTGAGATAGGTGTTGTGTTGTGTTAGCTGTGAGATAGGTGTTGTGTTGTGTTACCTGTGAGATAGGTGTTGTGTTGTGTTAGCTGTGAGATAGGTGTTGTGTTGTGTTACCTGTGAGATAGGTGTTGTGTTGTGTTAGCTGTGAGATAGGTGTTGTGTTGTGTTAGCTGTGAGATAGGTGTTGTGTTGTGTTACCTGTGAGATATGTGTTGTGTTGTGTTAGCTGTGAGATAGGTGTTGTGTTGTGTTACCTGTGAGATAGGTGTTGTGTTGTGTTACCTGTGAGATAGGTGTTGTGTTGTGTTAGCTGTGAGATAGGTGTTGTGTTGTGTTACCTGTGAGATAGGTGTTGTGTTGTGTTAGCTGTGAGATAGGTGTTGTGTTGTGTTACCTGTGAGATAGGTGTTGTGTTGTGTTAGCTGTGAGATAGGTGTTGTGTTGTGTTACCTGTGAGATAGGTGTTGTGTTGTGTTACCTGTGAGATAGGTGTTGTGTTGTGTTACCTGTGAGATAGGTGTTGTGTTGTGTTACCTGTGAGATAGGTGTTGTGTTGTGTTACCTGTGAGATAGGTGTTGTGTTGTGTTACCTGTGAGATAGGTGTTGTGTTGTGTTAGCTGTGAGATAGTTGTTGTGTTGTGTTACCTGTGAGATAGGTGTTGTGTTGTGTTACCTGTGAGATAGGTGTTGTGTTGTGTTACCTGTGAGATAGTTGTTGTGTTGTGTTACCTGTGAGATAGGTGTTGTGTTGTGTTACCTGTGAGATAGGTGTTGTGTTGTGTTACCTGTGAGATAGGTGTTGTGTTGTGTTGTGTTACCTGTGAGATAGGTGTTGTATTGTGTTAGCTGTGAAATAGTTGTTGTGTTGTGTTACCTGTGAGATAGGTGTTGTGTTGTGTTACCTGTGAGATAGGTGTTGTGTTGTGTTACCTGTGAGATAGGTGTTGTGTTGTGTTACCTGTGAGATAGGTGTTGTGTTGTGTTACCTGTGAGATAGGTGTTGTGTTGTGTTAGCTGTGAGATAGTTGTTGTGTTGTGTTACCTGTGAGATAGGTGTTGTGTTGTGTTACCTGTGAGATAGGTGTTGTGTTGTGTTAGCTGTGAGATAGGTGTTGTGTTGTGTTACCTGTGAGATAGGTGTTGTGTTGTGTTACCTGTGAGATAGGTGTTGTGTTGTGTTACCTGTGAGATAGGTGTTGTGTTGTGTTAGCTGTGAGATAGTTGTTGTGTTGTGTTACCTGTGAGATAGGTGTTGTGTTGTGTTACCTGTGAGATAGGTGTTGTGTTGTGTTACCTGTGAGATAGGTGTTGTGTTGTGTTACCTGTGAGATAGGTGTTGTGTTGTGTTACCTGTGAGATAGGTGTTGTGTTGTGTTACCTGTGAGATAGGTGTTGTGTTGTGTTACCTGTGAGATAGGTGTTGTGTTGTGTTACCTGTGAGATAAGTGTTGTGTTGTGTTAGCTGTGAGATAGGTGTTGTGTTGTGTTACCTGTGAGATAAGTGTTGTGTTGTGTTACCTGTGAGATAGGTGTTGTGTTACCTGTGAGATAGGTGTTGTGTTGTGTTACCTGTGAGATAGGTGTTGTGTTGTGTTACCTGTGAGATAAGTGTTGTGTTGTGTTACCTGTGAGATAGTTGTTGTGTTGTGTTAGCTGTGAGATAAGTGTTGTGTTGTGTTACCTGTGAGATAGGTGTTGTGTTGTGTTACCTGTGAGATAGGTGTTGTGTTGTGTTACCTGTGAGATAGGTGTTGTGTTGTGTTACCTGTGAGATAGGTGTTGTGTTGTGTTAGCTGTGAGATAGGTGTTGTGTTGTGTTACCTGTGAGATAAGTGTTGTGTTGTGTTAGCTGTGAGATAGGTGTTGTGTTGTGTTACCTGTGAGATAAGTGTTGTGTTGTGTTACCTGTGAGATAGGTGTTGTGTTGTGTTACCTGTGAGATAGGTGTTGTGTTGTGTTACCTGTGAGATAGGTGTTGTGTTGTGTTACCTGTGAGATAGGTGTTGTGTTGTGTTACCTGTGAGATAGGTGTTGTGTTGTGTTACCTGTGAGATAGGTGTTGTGTTGTGTTACCTGTGAGATAGGTGTGGTGTTGTGTTACCTGTGAGATAGGTGTTGTGTTGTGTTACCTGTGAGATAGGTGTGGTGTTGTGTTACCTGTGAGATAGGTGTGGTGTTACCTGTGAGATAGGTGTTGTGTTGTCTGTGAGATAGGTGTTGTGTTGTGTTACCTGTGAGATAGGTGTGGTGTTGTGTTACCTGTGAGATAGGTGTTGTGTTGTGTTACCTGTGAGATAGGTGTTGTGTTGTGTTACCTGTGAGATAGGTGTTGTGTTGTGTTAGCTGTGAGATAGGTGTTGTGTTGTGTTACCTGTGAGATAAGTGTTGTGTTGTGTTAGCTGTGAGATAGGTGTTGTGTTGTGTTAGCTGTGAGATAGGTGTTGTGTTGTGTTAGCTGTGAGATAGGTGTTGTGTTGTGTTACCTGTGAGATAGGTGTTGTGTTGTGTTACCTGTGAGATATGTGTTGTGTTGTGTTAGCTGTGAGATAGGTGTTGTGTTGTGTTACCTGTGAGATAGGTGTTGTGTTGTGTTACCTGTGAGATAGGTGTTGTGTTGTGTTAGCTGTGAGATAGGTGTTGTGTTGTGTTACCTGTGAGATAGGTGTTGTGTTGTGTTAGCTGTGAGATAGGTGTTGTGTTGTGTTACCTGTGAGATAAGTGTTGTGTTGTGTTAGCTGTGAGATAGGTGTTGTGTTGTGTTACCTGTGAGATAAGTGTTGTGTTGTGTTACCTGTGAGATAGGTGTGGTGTTGTGTTACCTGTGAGATAGGTGTTGTGTTGTGTTACCTGTGAGATAGGTGTTGTGTTGTGTTACCTGTGAGATAGGTGTTGTGTTGTGTTACCTGTGAGATAGGTGTTGTGTTACCTGTGAGATAGGTGTTGTGTTGTGTTAGCTGTGAGATAGGTGTTGTGTTACCTGTGAGATAGGTGTTGTGTTGTGTTACCTGTGAGATAGGTGTTGTGTTGTGTTACCTGTGAGATAGGTGTTGTGTTGTGTTACCTGTGAGATAGGTGTTGTGTTGTGTTACCTGTGAGATAGGTGTTGTGTTGTGTTACCTGTGAGATAAGTGTTGTGTTGTGTTACCTGTGAGATAAGTGTTGTGTTGTGTTACCTGTGAGATAGGTGTTGTGTTGTGTTACCTGTGAGATAGGTGTTGTGTTGTGTTACCTGTGAGATAGGTGTTGTGTTGTGTTACCTGTGAGATAGGTGTTGTGTTGTGTTGTGTTACCTGTGAGATAGGTGTTGTGTTGTGTTACCTGTGAGATAGGTGTTGTGTTGTGTTAGCTGTGAGATAGGTGTTGTGTTGTGTTACCTGTGTGATAGGTGTTGTGTTGTGTTAGCTGTGAGATAGGTGTTGTGTTGTGTTACCTGTGAGATAGGTGTTGTGTTCTGTTACCTGTGTGATAGGTGTTGTGTTGTGTTAGCTGTGAGATAGGTGTTGTGTTGTGTTACCTGTGAGATAGGTGTTGTGTTGTGTTACCTGTGAGATAGGTGTTGTGTTGTGTTACCTGTGAGATAGGTGTTGTGTTGTGTTACCTGTGAGATAGGTGTTGTGTTGTGTTAGCTGTGAGATAGGTGTTGTGTTGTGTTAGCTGTGAGATAGGTGTTGTGTTGTGTTACCTGTGAGATAGGTGTTGTGTTGTGTTACCTGTGAGATAGGTGTTGTGTTGTGTTACCTGTGAGATAGGTGTTGTGTTGTGTTACCTGTGAGATAGGTGTTGTGTTGTGTTAGCTGTGAGATAGGTGTTGTGTTGTGTTAGCTGTGAGATAGGTGTTGTGTTGTGTTACCTGTGAGATAGGTGTTGTGTTGTGTTACCTGTGAGATAGGTGTTGTGTTGTGTTACCTGTGAGATAGGTGTTGTGTTGTGTTACCTGTGAGATAGGTGTTGTGTTGTGTTACCTGTGAGATAGGTGTTGTGTTGTGTTAGCTGTGAGATAGGTGTTGTGTTGTGTTAGCTGTGAGATAGGTGTTGTGTTGTGTTAGCTGTGAGATAGGTGTTGTGTTGTGTTAGCTGTGAGATAGTTGTTGTGTTGTGTTAGCTGTGAGATAGGTGTTGTGTTGTGTTACCTGTGAGATAGGTGTTGTGTTGTGTTACCTGTGAGATAGTTGTTGTGTTGTGTTACCTGTGAGATAGGTGTTGTGTTGTGTTACCTGTGAGATAGGTGTTGTGTTGTGTTACCTGTGAGATAGGTGTTGTGTTGTGTTAGCTGTGAGATAGGTGTTGTGTTGTGTTACCTGTGAGATAGGTGTTGTGTTGTGTTACCTGTGAGATAGGTGTTGTGTTGTGTTACCTGTGAGATAGGTGTGGTGTTGTGTTACCTGTGAGATAGGTGTTGTGTTGTGTTACCTGTGAGATAGGTGTTGTGTTGTGTTACCTGTGAGATAGGTGTTGTGGGAGGATTTGACGAAGTAATGTGGCAGAGGTTGAGTCATGTCGTGACTCTGGGCCAGTTTGTCCTGCTTCACCACGGATGTTTCAGATCCCATCAGATAAAACATCAAACCTTCGGGAGAAATCTGACCTGCAGCAGAAGATCTGTGTGTCAGGAGGAGCTTTACGTTCAACCAACATCTGCAATACTCTTGTGTCATTCACTGACATGATCATCTAAAGCTGAGACTGCGTGGATATCATGGGATTAGAACCAGTGTTATTTTAGCATCATTGAGATTCTATTATAGTTTTATTCATAATTTAAATGCTTATTTTTTTAATTTCAAGTCAAGTCACATTTATTTATAAAGCGCTTTTTACACTATAGATTGTTTCAAAGCAGCTTTACAGAGATAACAGGAAAATAATGCACCAAAATTTGTTTCCAGAAGAAAATAGCGTCATGTGATGTTTCATTTTTGTTTTAAAGAAAGTTATTAATTTAGTTCATTTTTATATTTAGCCGCTCTGGAGTAAACCGTGATGTCATCGTGCTCATTTGATTTTGTAATTTTGCTAACTTTTATAAATGTGTCTATATAGTTTTTAATATTAGGCGTAATTAATATTTCAGTTTGAGGTATTTTTAGTTAGGGATGCTTCGGAAGGAAAATTCTGGGCCGAAACCGAAAATTCAGGATGCACTTGGTCGAAAACTAATTTAAAACTAAATTAATAATCAATTACTTAATCAAACTTATTAATAATCATCACTAATAATCAGGGGCGTAGAATTTAGTAGGGACGCTAGGGACGTGTCCCTACCAATATCCAGTGACACTGATATATCCCTAGCAATAATTTCGATCAAAACTTAAAATATATTTATATATTGATGATGTCCCCGTCCCCAGCAATTTCAAAATCAAACCTACGCCACTGCTAATATTAATAGCTAAAACTTGAGTTTTACAAACATTTAAATAGTTTTTATATCAACTTTTTAATAACAATTGTTTCTACTCCAGTTGGTGAAATATGAACATTTAAACAACAATAAACTGTAATAACTTGTTTTCATGACAGATTTATTCAAACACACAGTAAATAATGAAGACATCATTAACAGATTAAGTACAAATATAATGAATATGTAATGCAGTGCATATATTTAGCCAAATTCTCCTCTCTAGAGTTATTTTTTCTATTTAAGGACATAGAAAAGCTTCTGTTAGTAAATCTCAAGCTGTTTTAGTGACGTCTCTCCGCGGTCGAAACACTGATGATCGATTACATGAGTTATCACGTAACAACAATAAGTTGTTCTCACAACATTCATCACTCCTGATGTTCACTGATGTTTATTTGCCGCTGTAACGAGTAGTAAAGAGGAACAGTTGATTGGTTCGTGTGCGCCAAAACGACTTTTACTGTTTGAATTTTTGTAACGAAAAGCACATATTGATCGATCATTAATCTGTTATTTTCATTGATCTGCAGTTGAATTGCTTGTTGTGTTCCTAAGAATGCCTGGATGTGAGTGTTGAGTGTGAGGAGTGAAGAGGAGCTCACCGCGGCTGGCGTTGGACGAGCTCGGCTCGTATTTCTCGATGAGGTTCTTGACCTGCTCGGTTCTGACGAGAGGAAACAGCTCTTCGTTGAGGCGAGAATCTCGTTGTTTCTCGTTCAGGAACTTCGTCA